GCGTCCTCCGAGTCGATGCAACAGATACTATTGACTTCGATGATGAAATGAGGAGAAGCTCGCGAGACATGAGTTCAAAAACGGAAGGATTGCGAGAGCATTGTTTCTAGCGCCCTGGAGGGTTGAACTCGGCCAACGAAAACGTTTGAAGCCATGCCCACCGGTCAAGTGCAAGACGGCCAACGTGTTCTTGGTGCGCTTCGTGTGGCTTTACGAGTAGCTATCCCGATATGATGGCTTCGAGCTAAGGACCTACCAATCATTCAACGGTACGGATCCGAGTCTACATATGAGGATGGGGAAGAAGCATAACCTTTGACCGACAGCTTTGAACGCTGCGTACTTACCGGCGGAGATACGAAACTGTTTTGGAATAGTATTGAGTGGTTGTTCATCTCAAACCTGCGCAGTGGTCGCGTCCAAAATATCATATTTGGTTTGAAATCGTACCAACCAAACCCAGAAACTGAAAAATAAAATGGCCGTGGATTGAGTCGCCCGCGACAACCCTGGCTTCGCGTCCGAATTACGCATTGAACCTTAAATGGAAACCTCGGCTACTGACGCGACAATGCCGCACGTGATCGTGTCGGCATCCCGACGGCGACAGTCCAGGTTTGGACAAGGCCCTTTTTGTTCTTCTCTCTTTGTTCTTGTCCCCTTGTCCTATCCCTTTCCCACTAGCCCTTGTCTCTCCCTCTCATCTTGTCCAAGTCAAAGCAATCGCACTTTCAAGTTCCCCTCTCTCGGACTCACGAACAGCGATGTTACCGAAAATACTCACTGTCGCGGTTCTCGCAGGATGTACAACAAGCGTTGTGGCTTGGGGTGCAGCGGGTATGTCGTTCTCCTCCAAGACTTCCAATCCTCATCTGTATAGGCCATGAAATCGCGGCCACAATCGCGCAGATTCACCTGCACCCGAGTGTACTCCCAGCTATGTGCGAAATCCTCAACTTCACCTCGAAGAACCCCAACGAGCCGCAATGCCATCTCGCACCCGTTGCGACGTGGGCGGACAAACTCCGCTTCAAGATGCGCTGGTCTGCGCCGCTTCACTATATCGGGGCAGTCGACGACCATCCGTCGCAAACGTGCTCGTTTCCTGGCACACGGGGCTGGGCGGGGAAGCAGGGCGGCAATGTTCTCGGTGCTATCCGAAACGTTACCACCATCCTCGAAGACTCGGTGTATTATGGTAAAACGGGCAAGCTGTCTGCCTACGAGTACGAAGCGGCAAACGAAGCGCTCAAGTTCCTTATCCATTTTATGGGCGACATGCATATGCCCCTCCATTTGACTGGCCGTGACCGGGGGGGAAACTCTGACAAGGTTCTATTCAACGGGCGGCAAACGAGTGTGTACCGCTACTCTCGCCTTTACTTTTATTTAACACGCATTTATAGACCTGCACTCATTATGGGACGGCCTGCTTATCGCCAAAGCACTCCGATCTGTGCCCAGGAAGTACTCGCAACCTCTTCCCTCTCCCAAGATCGAGTACGCTCTCCGGGGCACGATCTACGACTCCTACGTCCGCATGATCATGTGGGAAGGCGTCCTAGGCAAATGGGCGAATGAGATCCCCAGCTGGCTCATCTGCCCTGCCCCAACTCGCTCCCGCGTCCGCGCGCTCTCATTCCCTTCCTCAATCGCCGAATTCTGGCAGCAGGCCCTCTTCGTATGGAGCCGCGTCACCGGCGCCATGGACAACACCGACGACGACCTCATCTGCCCGTACCACTGGGCCACACCCATCCACGCGCTCAACTGCGCGATTGTGTGGCCCAAGGCGCTCGACGAGCCGCCGTACAACAGTACCCGCCTCGACGGCGCGTCGGCTGCGTCGTCGCACCACGACTGTGTCGACCCCGCCGCTGAGCTGGCACAGATGGACCGCGCTGGACACTTTGTCGCCGGCACCAAGGGTGGGCCGTACCTCGAGCTCGACACGCCGGAGTATTCGGGCGCGATCAGCAAGCAGTGGATCATCGAGAAGCTGCTTGCGCAGGCGGGGATCCGCCTTGCCGGCGTCTTGAACTATCTGTTCGCTGATTTTGAGGACGCCGAGGAGGCGAAGTTGTGGAGCCGTGGGCTGCACATCGACTTTTGAGTCTTGTAACTCGAGTATTGTATTGAAACAGAACTAGAAATGGAATAGAGTGTATCATTTGGACTGTTGTTTGAACAGGTGCAGCGTGGACAAATAACGCAAAGTTTGTTCGGTTTAGGAAAAGTGATAATTCTGGAATGTTTTTCTTGTTTTTATTAGAATGCTTGAACAATACCAGGAAGCTGGAAACGGAACAATAACGCGTTGCCCACGCAAACCAGATCTAGCACTGCGTTATTATTGTGGCGAATGCCCTTGTCCTCCTTTGATCGGCGGGGAACCATATAATATGGCGAGGTCAATCTCGACCTACAACCCTCTATTCTCACAACCCTTTCAATACAGTCTCATGTCTCAAATCACCGCTGTTCCTGTTTCCGCGCCTCAGTTGGAAGACCCCCACACTCCGGTTCCCGTCGTCAAGATTGAAATTCAACTTACCCCTGCCATGGACTTAGGTCTCCGTCGAATCGAGGATGCGATTGCAAAAGCTCGAACCGACCTCGGGGACGATGTTATTCCGCCCGGCGAGGACGAGACAGAAATTTACCTTCGCTACTTCTTGTGAGACGAATTTCGGACAGTATGAACGCAGGCTGATGAAATTTCAGTTTGATTCGCATCGGATATGAAGAAACAGAGGCTCTAGGGATGACTTTTGAGACTATTGAGCACTGCGAGCGGGTGTGCCTGTTCGCTTGGAGAACGCAGGCATTTCTAGAAGTAGGTTTCTTTAGGCGTAAAAATAATTCCAGGTCGATTAATCGTGCCACTATTTCCAGGAAGTACAGACGATAATTGCAGCCGCCAAGGAGAGGAAGCGAGTGGAGGACGAGCGGAAGGCGGCTGGTGATGAGGCCCAGAGCGATTGATAACGGCGGGACTAACCTGGTTATGAATTATATTTCCAACTTGACTAGTCAACGGCCAGACCAATCTAAGGGCCAGCAAATAAACAAACACGTTTCCAGTTGCGAGTAAATCCTGGAGCACACGCAAACACACCGAGCTCCGGCGGTAAGATAGACAAGGCTAGTGCAAGTGGGAAACTGAGATTCATTCATAACGGCCATTCCGGGTAATCACCACTCGGGACAATTTCCTTGGAATCCGATGCTCTTCGCCGTTTCGACCTCGGTGGCCTCGCCGGGGTGTTGGTCACCGAATCCTGTGTCGGCTCTGAGCGCTTCCGTTTCTTGTCAATGTTTGTCGGAGCAGTACGTTCATCAAGTTCCCCTGGCTTCAGGCCCTCAGGGTTGAAGTTCCCGTGAATCCATTCACGGGGAATGAATGGGGATTTTGGTCGTCCGGGAGATCTGACACCGGTGTCAGTGTCGTGCTTGTTGCGGTAGGTGTGCCTGTTGTACCCTCAACCTCGGGACTACTTGGTGCTGGGCATTCGAGCTCCGCCAACGGAAAGTCACGGTCACTATCGGCGAGGGCACACGCTGCCAGCGACAGATGTTGGGGAGCACGAAGTACTATTTAAATCTGGAGATGATAAAGTACATACCTTGTTTGCTGAGAGAATAAACACGGTCGTTGATTGTGCGTGCAGGTTCGTGGGGCTTGAAGGCCAACCAGTCAGCTATGCCCGTCGACCTGGGCGACTCGGAGTACACAATTGAACCGGGAGAATGGATCGTGTAACGCACAGGTCGTACGTGAACAACGCAATCAGAAAGACGCTCCAACTATCGACACGATTGTTGTAGCCCTGGCTTTCCATCCGGATGTAAACCTCGGGAGCTATGTATTTGGGGATACCGCAATATGTCTAGTCCGCCAATTAGTTCAAGGGACGACGAACGTCAAATCTGAGTGCAAAACGAATCAACTGTCGAATCCAAGTGCCATAAGTATGATGCTCCTACCGTCCTTGCCTCCAAATGCGATTGTACTGTCATGCTGCAGCTTTTTGCTGGCCTTCTTGAGGAGTTCGTCGTCGATCTAAGCTTCGTCAGGGAAGAAAGGCCTTGGCCCGTACAGTGTGCTCACCCCAGTTCTGTTGGTCGACTTGTCCTCCACCATGATACATTTCTCTGAATCGATACGACGAATAATTGCATGTTGTCTACCTCTCCGGAGTTCAGCGCGGACATGTGGTAAGCAGTTTAGCACTCACTAACGCCGCCGAAAGTAACTTGAGCTCCTTCGAGCGACGCCGACTTTGCCAACTTCAATGAACGAGGATCTACTCCGGACATTGGTTCAGACTCGGGACTTACTCCTCGAGTGAGATCCGCAGTTTGCGTGTCAACTTCGTTCCTTTCTGTCAGACGCCCAAAGACGACGGTCGATCTGATGAGGGAGAGACGGGTGCTCAACGTTCAACTCCGAATGGTTCTGGGGCTCAAGGTAACTCCAAGGTCTCTACAGCGCATCCGGTTGCATTGGTTCATCCGATTCACATTGTTCCTGCGTCTCTGGAAGGGCGAAGTATTCCTCTTCTGAGTCCGAATTACAGTTCATCGGCACAGCCATTGCTCAGGAGGAGAGGTTCGAGCAGGCCAAGCGTTTTGTCACCGTTGATATTTCTCCTCATTGTTTTCGTGATTGCCACAATATCAATCCGTTGTTATTTTCGAGTGGTGGAATTCGGATGTTGGGCGCAATCCAAAGTGACACAGAGGACTCGAGGCTGCTAATTGTAGCAGTGGTGATGATTCAAGGCAGGTGGGAAGATGTTGAGCGCGCCGCTGATTCCCACGGTTAACAAAATTCACACGGTTCAACCGGATGTACGGTTGAGTTGCAGAAATTGAGCAGTAGGGCTACATCCTGTCGAAATACTTGCTTCCTTCCTCGAGGACGCTGCACTACGAATTGGAAGAAATGGCGAGGTAAAAGGAAAAAAGAAGCGAAAAAAGAATGCGGGAATGGTACATGACCCAACCGTGAATCGAACACAGGTCTCTTGCTTCAACATGTTTGACGAACTAGACATGTAAAGCAAGCGCACTAACCACTGTGCCATTGGGTTTCTGATTTCTCTCACTACCTAATACCTAATACCTAAGTATCTACTCAAGGAGGTGAAGCAATTATTCAATTACTTGACTCCGGAAACGAAGACGGTGTTTGTACTTACCCACAACAAAATAGGCCACGGGCCTCTCTGGCGCCCTTTGGGGATCGTTCAGTTCATAAGTAGGAAAAACAAAGATGTGGTACAAAATCAAACATGTAGTACAAGGCAGGACCGCACCGTGAATCGAACACGGATCTCTTACTTTCGAGTGACCTTGAAGTAAGCGCACTAACCGCTGTGCCATTGGGTCGTTAATGGCAAATGCTTCTTCACTACCTATGTACTCAACGGGGAAGCAATTTCATTTGGAGTTCAGTCCGAGCAAAGACGTTGTCGGGTCGAGTATCGTATGTATGTTCACGAACAGGAAAATTAATCTCAATCTCAAAAATGAACAAAATTCACACGGTTCAACGGATGTACGCCGGTTGAGTTGCAGGAATTGAGCAGTGAGGCTACATCCTGTTGCTCGGTTCGGTCATTCCTCAAGGAAGCTGCGGTAGGAATTGGAAGAAATGAGGTCCAGAGAGGTGAAAGAAAAAAAAGAAAGATGGAGAACGCATGACCCAACCGTGAATCGAACACGGGCCTCTCGCTTCAACAAGTATGGCAATTGGACATGTAAAGCAAGTGCACTAACCACTGTGCCATTGGGTCGTTGATTTTCAGCCCGTCTTCACTACCTGATACCTAAGTATCAAGTTGAAGTAAGCGCACTATTAGGGAGGTGAAAGAAAAAAGAACCGAAAAAAAGATGACGAAATATGAATGACCCAACCGTGAATCGAACACGGGCCTCTTGCTGAAATCTTCTTACTCTAACAACCACATGTAAAGCAAGCGCACTAACCACTATGCCATTGGGTCATTGATCTTCAACCCTTCTTCACTACCTGATACCTAAGTATCTACTCAGCAATCTCAATCTCCAAAATGAACAAAATTCAAAATTCACACGGTTCAACCGGATGTAATACGGTTGAGTTGCAGAAATTGGCTACATCTCATCAAAATAATTACTCGGTTCGGTCTGTACTCGAGGTAGGAGTTGGAAGAAATGGGAATTGGGGAGGTGAGAGAAAAAAAGAACTAAAAAAGCCATCTACGAGATAGAGAATGACCCAACCGTGAATCGAACACGGGTCTCTTGCTTAATTCTTTTTACATTAATGGGTTATGTAAAGCAAGCACACTAACCGCTGTGCCATTGAGTCATTGATGTTCAGTCCTTCCTCACTACCTGATACCTAAGTATCTACTCAAGGAGGTGAAGCAATCTCATATCTCAACTTCACACGGTTCAACCGGATGTAACAATGTTGAGTTGCAGGAATTGAGTAGAAAGGCTACATCTTATCAAAATAATTACTCGGTTCGGTCTGTGTTTGAGGTAGGAGTTGGAAGAAATGGGGTCCGGGGAGGTGAAAGAAAAAAGAACCGAAAAAAAGATGACGAAATATGAATGACCCAACCGTGACTCGAACACGGGCCCCTTGCTTAAACATGGTGGACAACTTAGACATGTAGAGCAAACGCACTAACCACTGTGCCATTGGGGCATTAATCTTCACCTCTTTACACCTAAGTATCTACTCAAGGAGGTGAAGCAAAAGTGAAACAAAGTTCACACGGTTCAACCGGAGGTACGCCGGTTGAGTTGCAAAAATTGAGTAGAGAGGCTACATCCTAATTACTCGGTTCGGTCTTTACTCGAGGACGCTGCGGTAAGAGTTGGAAGAAATGGGGTCCGGGGAGGTGAAAGAAAAAAGAACCGAAAAAGACAGAAATTATGAATGACCCAACCGTGAATCGAACACGGGTCTCTTGCTTCAAGATGTTAGACAACTAGACCATGTAAAGCAAGGGCACTAACCACTGTGCTATTGGATCTCTGATCTTTGGCTCTTCTTCACTACCTAATACCTAAGTATCTACCCAAGGACCGAGGTTATGAAGCAACGTCTCAAGATGTTGACAACTAGACTCAAAATATTGCTAAACATTTGGTCTTCTTCAACCTAATCTAAGTATCTACTCAAGGAGGTTGAAGCAATCTCAAGTCTCAAAAATGAAGTGTTCAAAAGGTTTCAACCGGATGTAAGTGCGGCTGAGTTTGCAGAAATTGAGTAGAATGGGCTACCATCTCATCAAAATAATTACCTGTTCGGTCTGTACTCGAGGTAGGAGTTGGCAGGGGAAAGAAAAAAGAAGCGAAAAACAGGATGCAGAGAAGATGGCCCAACCGTGACTCGAACACGGGTCTCTTGCTTAAACTCTGCATTTATGGAACATGTAAAGCAAGCGCACTAACCACTGTGCCATTGGATCGTGAGCTTCTACACTACCTAATACCTAATACCTAAGTACTATCTACTCAGGGAGGTGACACAATTATTCAATTGATTCCGGAGTCGAAGACAGTGTTTGTACCCACAACAAAATACTTAGGCTACGGGCCTGGCGCGCTTTGGGGATTGTTGAGTTCATAAGTAGGAAAAAACCAGAAAAAGCTAAGAAATACTGCATGAAGGACCCCACCGTGAATCGAACACGGGCCTCTTACTTTTGAGTGATCATGAAGTAAGCGCACTAGTACTATTGTAACCGTAGGTCGTTAATGGCCAACGCTTCTTCAATACCTAGGTATTCAACGGGCAAGCAATTTCATTTAATTCTTGAGTCCGAGCAAAGACGTGCCAGGTTGCGTTGAGTGTTATATGTACGCTGCGGTAAGAGTTGGAAGAAATGGGGGAGGTGAAAGAAAAAAAGAAGCGAAAAAAGGCCTTCACGAATGGCAGATGACCCGCCCGTGAATCGAACACGAGGTTTCTTACTTTCGAGAGATCATGAAATAAGCGCACTAACCGTTGTGCCCTTGAGTCATGGTGCCCAACGTTATTTGGTTCTCCTTGGCGCTGACCCATTGAAGTTTCTCACTACTTTCTCCGAGACATTTCGAGGCGCGCAAGTTCGACTAGTGAGTGGCCCATGGCGGCGGTCAATTTTGGGGTTAGGCCACCGTCGCTACGTGCGATTCGTTGTTCGAAGGTTGAATTGTCGCCTTCCTTCCTGCGCGTGAACGAAACCAGTGTTCGAACGAAGACGAGAAAGCATGCACGTCGCTCCTCGACGGTGCGGTAGTCCTTTCGTTTCGGTCGCAGGCGCGGCGCGGCGACGGCGAGTAGTTCGCAACCAACCAGACAAGGTTGTCTCGGAGAACAAGGAGAGTTGTGATCGCCGCTTACGTATCGCCGATCACTCGAAAATAACCTTCTTTCACTCTCTTTCTTTCTTGTGCTGCGATGGACGACGAGGAGGACCTGCAACAGACCCAGGAGTCGACCCAAGAGTCGACGCAGGAAACAGACGACCAGCCCCGCAACTGGCCAAGAGAACACCTCCCATCTCTGGGGCTTCCTCACCCCGTGTCTCAGCCAGACCCTCGCCCGCCGCGACCTGCTCAAGGATGAGCCCGATGTCGCTGTCGGCCGCAACGTCGCCAACGCGTTTCGTGTTGCCGGGGTACAAGATTAGTGAGCCTCTGTGTGCGTTATTTCTTTGACGCAACGCTGAGGCGCGCGCAGGCAACTTTCACGCGGTGATCAGGTGGAACGGGCTCGAGAATGCAGAGTCCATCATCACCATCGACGATTTGTCGAGTAACGGCACTTTTGTACGCGTGTCCTTTCACCCGACGCGATTCCTTTCATCTGACACCCACACAGATCAACGGCGAGAAGATCGGCAAAGGCCAGCGCCGCCTCCTCAAGGACGGGAACGAGGTCGCGTTTGGCGCCCCCTCCACCTCGCGCGAGGCCGATGGCCTCTTTGATTACCGTGTGGCGCCTCTCTTTACTTCCCAAGCCTTTGTGCTAACATCACTTAGGCTACATATTCCGCGACCTCGTCTCCTTCGTCCCCAAGCGCCCCGTCTACCACGCGTACGACATCTCCATCGAGCTCGGCAAGGGCTCCTTCGCCACCGTGTACAAGGCCCTCCACATCGCGAGCGGCGAGTGGGTCGCCGTCAAGGTCATCCGCGAGACGAAGCGCCACAACACCAACCCCAATTCCACCGCGCCGCCCCCGGCCTCGTCCCGCGAGATCAACATCATGGAGGAGCTCCAGCACCCGAATATATGCGGCCTGCGCGAGGTCTTTTGGAATCCGAATGGGAGCATAGGGCTGGGTTGGCGACGCGTCTTTGTGTTTCCTTACTGACACGCAACAGACCTCGTCCTCGAGCTCGTCACCGGCGGCGACCTCCTCGACTTTATCCTCACCCGCAACGGGCTCGACGAACCCACCGCCAAGCACATCACGTACCAGCTCTGCCAGGCCCTCGCCTACATCCACGGCAAGGGCATCACGCACCGCGATCTGAAGCCCGAGGTGCGTTGCCTGCTGCTCCTTCCGCGCTAAAAAGGGATGTGAACGCGACGTCGACGCAGAACGTGCTCCTGACATCAGACACGCCGCCCATCGTCAAGGTCGCCGACTTTGGGCTCGCGAAGATCGTGGACAGCATGACGATGCTCAAGGTGCGCCTTTTCCTTCCTGCTTTCCCACTTCCCACTTCCTACTTCCCCACTTCCTACCTTCCCACTTCCTACTTCCCACTTCCCACTTCCACCTCCTCGCGCACCGCCACCCACCGCCTACTCCAAAAAAAAACACGACATATTACATACTGACCAAAATCCAAATCCCACAGACGATGTGCGGCACCCCCGTCGTACCTCGCGCCCGAGGTCGTCACGCAGCAGGGCAGCAGCGGGTACGACTCGCTCGTCGACAGCTGGAGTGTGGGCGTTATTTTGTTTTCGATGTACGTATGCCGGTTTCCTTCCGTTTTCGTTTTAGTTTTAGTTTTATTGCTGCGCGGTCGGGTTTGTTGTGCGGTCTTCCACACGGCCGAGTTTCCTTTTCTTTTCTTTTGTTGGCCCGACGCCGCACGCCGCCGCCGAATTATCCAACATTGAATTGACACAACGCTGAATGAATCGCATTTGCAGGCTGACGAACACGACGCCGTTCATCGAGACGTCGCACGAGGACCTCAAGGTGCGCATCGCGGAGCGCACGATCGACTGGAGCCAGCTCGAGGGCGTGGGGCTGAGTGCGGAGGGTGAGTGTTTGCGTTTGCGTCTTGCGTCTCTTTCTTGTTCCTTTCGATTGCTTTACATTTCTTCGTCACATTTCTTCGTGTGCTGCGCATTCACATTTCTTCGTGTGCTTCGCATCTTTCCAAAGCACGAGCGGCTTTCCGAGATGACCACGACGCGAGGCGCGAGCGGCTTCCTGCATACTTTTCGTCCTTTCTTTTCTCTGGTCCCGTTTCCATTCCCCCCCCCCCCCCCCCCCCCCCCCCCTTCAGTGTGTGGGCGGTTAGAGGTGGTTTGATCGCTCGTTGCACCCTGGCGCCTCGCGCGGAGCTGGAGCTGGAGGTGGAGGTGGAAGTGGTGGCCAACACGCTCCTTCTCTGGGCGCGAAAACCCGCTCACGCGCCGCTCGTACCATCCCAACCCGCTCGAGTGGGTGACGGTGCCGCGCGAGATGAGGTGTGGCGGTTTTTTACGGTGTCGGTGCTGCGTCGTCGTCGGCCTCTTCCACTGCCGAGCGCGAGGAGTGCTGGGTGCTGGGTGCTGGGCCAGGGGGAGTGGGAATGGGTGTACTCACGCGTACAGATCGTCACTTTCGCTTATTGTCTTTGCGTATTTCATATGAAAAGAGTTATATACTAATTTGCTTTATTCGCAGTCATCTCCTTCATCCGCAACCTCCTCGAGTTCGACCCGCGGCGGCGCATGCGCCTCAGCAGCGCGCTCACGCACCCGTGGTTGGAGGGGTACGAGCTGCAGGTGGCGGTGCCCCTCGTTTACCCCGCGCTCGAGCGCACCACGCCCGAGGCGGGTGGGGGCGGGATGTTGTCGGAGGACGTGTCGATGCGCACGGCGGGCAGCTTCGTGGACGTGGAGGCGCCGGTGCTGACGCCGCGGGAGGGGGAGGGGATGGGCGAGGACGACGCTGAGCGCGGGGAGGAGGCGGACGCGGTGAGCCAGGGGATCGAGCACGTGCGCATTAATGGGAGCGTTCCCTCCGTCACCGCCCCTACACACACCGACGCCGGCACCGACGCGACACCGAACGGCACGACGCCGCCGCCCTCGAACACGCCCCCAGGGCTGACGCTGCTCAACCGGACGCGGGGGCGCGGGGTGCTGCAACGCCGGAGCGAGGTGATCCAGCACGCGGCGGAGACGGGACGGGTGCTGGTGGAGCCGTCGTGGGAGATGGTGAGCTACGCGAGTTCGCAGAACCAAAATCAACAGCAGGCACAGGAGGAGGACGCGCTGTCGCCGAGCCAGGAGGAGCTGTATGGGCCGCCGAGGGAGGGGGACGTGTGTGTGGTGCCGCCGACGCCGACGACGACGAACGGTGCTGCGAGCAAAAATACGAACGCCAGAGCGAGTGGGAGTGGGACGACGAATGGGAATGGGAACGGGAAGGGCCCGAATAAGCGGGTGCGCGCGGAGTTGACGCCGCTCACGGAGGACGGGGAGGACGAGCACGAGCACGAGGGCGGGACGCGGGCGAGCAGCCCGCTGAGCAGTGTGGGGGAGACGCCGCCGCCGGCTGGGCCTGCGCGGAAGAAGAGTCGGGCGAATGCGAGTCAGAGCCAGGAGTCGCCTTTGAATAAGCCTGCTCCGACGAAGGGGAGGCGGACGGCGAAGGGTGCCACGGGGGCGGGGGCGGGGGCGACAAGGAAGGTGCGGGTGCGCGAACTGAGGGGTGCGTGGTGTCTTCCGCCTTCCTTCCCATATTCCCGTTCCTTCCCTCCAATCCATACGTGTAAACTCACGGCATTCGCACGCGACAGAATATGCGCCCCTCCCCAGCTCCGCCTACCCTAATGCCTCCAACCCACAACAACCTCCCTCATATGATCGTAAGCATTTATTTCTGCTTTCACCCCCAAGTCACCAACACACAGGAAGGCACCCATCTTGGAGACGTGCAAACAGAAAGTCCAGATATCTCGTCATCAGGATCTGAAGAGGTTGGTGCAAACATTTCCACTTTTGTGATTTGTTCACCTGAGGTTTCACCGCCCTTCTTGTCGCCGTATGTTCTTTATCTCCTGGGTTTATAAACAGGGCAATTCTGAACTTATATCTTGTTTTTCCAGTACCCGAGCAACTATACATCCAGAAGATGTCCAGAGTCAATTCTTTGATGGCTCGATCTTTTCGGTGTATATGAACACACCTGATACAGCACTGCTATGGGTGGAGGCCCACTATGATCACTTCCTTCTTCAAACCATACGAAGTTATGGCCTTGGTGGTCCGATGGCTGCAATGCTGTCTCCAGATGAACCTGCACTAATTGTATTTGGGTCAATCCTTGATGATAGGGTCCTGACACTGGCACAAAATCTCTGTGAAGTCTCACACTTTAAAGTGTTGATTAGGCCACTCGACGATGACCCTGTCAAGGGATGGAATGATGTGACCGAGGAACCCAATCCTACGGTTGAAACTGAATCCCATGACCCTCAAGACAACGAGGAGGATGGTTCAAATCAGGACATGGAGGAAACACAGAGCATGGTTGACAGTGATGACAGCATGGACAATGTGTCCACAGCTAACCTTGACATTGGCACCACCGGAGTCTTTCGACTTCGTGGGGGTGCACACAAACACGTCAAGTTTGACTCATGGAAAAGCCCAGAGCATGAATTCAATGTCCATCTGGGAGTAAAGTCTAATGTGGAATACCGAGTTCCTATTATTTGCAGAACACAGGTACGTGGTTCTTTATGTGTTGTTGAACTCAGTTCCAAGTCATATTTTTCTCATCTTTCTTGTAGTTCACA